ACACAGTATTAAAATATGATTTGCTGAATAGTGAGCCATATTAAATTTTTTTGATTCGCACTATTCTTTCAAGTGTCGGCTCCAGTGGCTTGGAAGTAGCGTGCCCTCTTGGTCGGATAGGTTAGACTAAGATTTTGGGTTTTATCCCGGCTATGTGTAGAGTCAATAGATTTTTTGGATGCGCAAATCGTAGGCACGCATGTCATATAATTATGCGGCATGTAAAAGCTCCCTTGAGTATCAGTTTGGAAAAATCACGGCAATATTTAGCCTCCATCGAGAGTTTGAATTAAAAATCAACTCAAGCGGCCAAATTTGGTAGCGAGGCCGCCTTTGTCACCAAGAAATGGCTTTCACATTTGGGGATTTGCCGTTTATGCGAAAGCTAAAATGCAACCCATTGGGGAAAAAAATCTTTCAAGTTCTTAATAGATTTTATAAAATAATTTGTAATGAAAGCACAATGCTTTAAATTAATTAAATTAACTGTAATGTTAAGTAAATATAAAATTTAATTCAGTCTACAAGCAGCTTCCTGTATAAGCTATTTCTGTTATTGCCACAAAAATAAAACTTTTTGTGCAACACATTTCTAATATGTTCAATTGTAACTGAAGCTCCTATAGTAAGAAACGCGTGTCATTGAAAATAATCTCATCACGTTTATTAACGAGAAATATTACAAAGAATATTTTTGATATTTAAACAATGAAGTTTGTAAAACGATGTAGCAAAATATCATCTTAATTTAAAAGAAAAAATAAAATATGCTTACTTTCAATTTCCTCAGATATTGGTTTTTTACCGGAACATGCTTTCTCGCACATATCACGTGTTAGAAAATTATTATCATTTCCACCACATCCACTGTAGATAAACAACTTGCACCTTGAAACATCAGGATCATAGTACCACCTTCTATGTTTTCCGTAACAATTACCTGTGTTGGACACCATTTTACAAATACCTACACGTTAAAGAGAACAAAATAGCATTCTTACATTACATTGCAAAGGGAAAATATATTAATGTAACCTTTATAGGGTAGGTGAATGTTATTTTATTGAATTAATACGGTCTTAAAAAATGGATTTGGTTTAAAAATCAACCAAAGATTTCCTTTCCTCTTAACTGTTTTCGGAACACAATATGGTTGCCGAACCCCATAAATGTAAATCATTTTACTTAACTTTAAATTTTTTAGTCGAGGGGCTATAAAATTAATACTTTCTCCTTTATTGTCTGAACCGCTAAGACGTACTATACTCAAGAAGCGAACATCTTGTTACTATTATCCGACACATCACATGGTCAAATCAATCATTGAAAAAAACCAAAAAGTCAGATTATGAGGAGTTATATTCTGAGAAAAGCAATTTATTCTTCAGTTTGTAACTTAAGTAATTAAACAATAATTAATAATTTTAATTACACTTAAGTAATTAGTGATTAACCTTAATTTCACCTAAAGGTTAAACAAAGAAAGCAAACATGTATTCATAAAAAATTAATTGAATGAAATTAGAGATACAACAGTGTTGCAATAAATGATGAAAGATAATTGCAAAAGTATATTTCAGGAATATAATTTTACATATTCCACTTTTTGTCTCTTTTTAATTTTTCATCAAGAGAAAAACTTATAAACATAAAAAACGTATATAGAAACGTATGTCAAATATTTCAATTTACTTTTATTGATCTTACATTTTCCCCCCCAAATTTTATAGCCCAATACAGCATTATGTTTACATTTTAATCTATTCTGTTTTCATATGGTTTCTTTCAAAGAGGAATATATATTTCGAGTTTCTTACTTCATTTTTAATTAACCCTCTCGCTGCTTAGTGCTACTTCTACTACGTGTACTTTGCCCGTGGAAATCGCGGGATGTGTAGTGAGAGGGTTCATCTATATCGTAATTGCTTTGGTTTTTAAATTTTAATTATATAAAGCTTACCAAAATTCTTACCTGGACTATAAAAAGTAATTACAAATGTAATTCATTAAAGGTATTCAACTACCCTAAAATGGGGACTTTTGCCAAAAATTGACAAATTTTTATTTTATAGTCCATCTAGTTAGCTTCATAAAAATACCAAGTTTATAATTTTCCCTTCTCTAGAAGAAAGACTACAAGTGTCTTAGTAAAAGCAATGCCATTACTTTAAGCAAGATATGTCATTCTTTAAAACGCGTTTTACTCGTAATGTGTTTTGTTGGGGGGAAAAATGCTCAAACGGGGCCAGCAATTGCTCAAAAAGTTTTGAAAATAATTAACTTAAATTTTTTTTGTATAATACAAGGGGTGATCAAATGAAAAGGTACGAAACGACATAAAAATGAAACAGTTAAATATTTGCATATTCCGCCAAGGGAGAATGTAGCGAGACATCTCGGGATGCCATTGGAGACTCTGACTGGGATCGATCATGCGCGGGTGCCCGCATGCGCAGGAGAGAGCAAAGGCTCTTATAAAAAGCGGCGTCCAAATGATGCGAGCACAGAATTACTCGAGCACAGAAAAAGCATTAACTCCGATGTGTACTGTGAGACACTCCGACGCCTACGCAGGTCCATCAAGAACAAAAGACCGGAGCTGCTCACGGAGGGTATGGTTCTGCTCCATGATAACGCGCGTCCACACGTCTCCAGAGTCACACAAATGGAACTGGACAAGTTCCAATGGGAGATGTTGGACCATCTGTCCTACAGTCCGGACATGTCACCCTGCGATTTCCATGTGTTTGGTCTACTGAAGAAACACCTGAAAGGAAAGCGCTTCAACTCGGACGACGTACTCAAGGACACTGTGAAGGACTGGGTCTCGTCACAGCCACAGGAATTCTGAGAACAAGGAATCCTGCGGCTTGTTCATCAGTGGGATCGTTGTGCTCAGGCCTATTGTGTATATTTTGAATAAAGTCTATATTTGCACCCACCGTGTCGTTTCGTACCTTTTCATTTGATTACCCCTTGTAGTAGAAGTGTTTTAATCTTCATATTTATCAATCACTGTTTTATTATAAAATTTACAGTCTCATGTTAATATAATCACTGTAATTTTAAGCAATTTCATATAATAACTAAGATAAAGTGCTCTAGTTTTTGTAAAAATTAAAATATCTCTTATCCTGAAAGTCATTTCAAAAATGAATAACATAAAACACATTAGAATTTAAAAATTAAAAATTTGTTCATAAACTTTTGGTACAGAATGGGCCCCGTTTATGTTATTTTTTGTTAATTTTTCCCCATTTTCCCCCCATTTTAGTACTAATACTTTCTTTTTCTATTCTTAGTTTTAGTATATTTTTCTTAAAATGTACAAAAAAAAAAACAAAAAAAAATGTATAGAAACCACAAAAAAAACCCCATATTTCCAATTTTTTAAAAAAAAAATTCGCAAGTAGTCGGATATTCTAACACTTGGTGGTAACGGAAATATCGCTTAGACATTCTCCAAGCTACCAAAAGGGCACACTTTAAAATTTACGTAGTTAAAAGGTTTTACAAGAAAAAAATTCAAAATAACACTAACAGTTCATTGAAAAAAACATATGCATGATTATAATGGTTTGAGCTCAGCAAATATTTATAATCAGGGCAAAAAAGATTTTTGGTTTACCTTATATTTAGAGTAACAAAAGAATAGAACGTTTTTAGTGCAATACTTTACTTGTTATATTCATAGCGGAGATTACAGCAGGTAGCAAAGCAATTGACAAAATCGTTATCTTCATTCTTGTTGTTTTCAACTGGAAATAAAAAAATTATTAGCACTGTAGATGTAAAAAATAAATTTCTTTATTTAAAAAGTAATGTTATATTTAAAACACCGGAAAATAATGTTTTGAAAGTTAAATGTGCTGGAAATTTAAAATGCTGTTAAATGTTTTCGAAAAATCTATTACAAGAGAGACGAACAGAACAAAAAAGTAACACTTTTAACTGTTTTCCAATACTTTTTTTTAAATTCCTGTTGAAAGTTCGTTATAAAGTTTACTCTGTTTACTCTTCATCGTGGATTAGTTCGAAGTGCATAAACAATTTTAAAATAATCGTTCATTAACTGAAATGTTTATGAAACACTTATTTGCACATGAATCCTTACCAGTAATCCATGAAGAAGAATCATTATAACAATACAGAAAATATCTCCTTTATTTGAAAAAAAAAATCAATTCTATCGATAACTAAAGCATTAAAAGTTTGTGAAATTTTTATTAAACTAAACAAATACATTTAACAAACAATAAAAATATTACATATGCTTTCAAAAAATTGGATTTTTGAATAAAATAAATTAAATATTAACACCTTAAACTGAAAAATTAATTTATTTCTTCATAAAATAATAAAATGCAGAGGGAAATATTAGAGCATCTTTCAGAATTTTAATATCTTCTGAAAAAAATAGAATTTTTTCATATGCATTTACTGCATCATTTTTAAAGCAACCTATTATAGCGTTTTATTACAACGAAGTTAAACTGCATAATAAACTTGAGATATTCAAAAATAGTGTGTTCTTGGTCCTTACAGTTAAATTAAATATTTCTTTGATTTCTAAAATTTTGAGCACCCACTTAACAAATGTAACTAGTATTTTTAAAAAAATTATATAACACAAATGGTGTAGTTTTAATAAAGCCGCAAAAATAAGCACAAAGTGTATTTTGTTAATGTAACAGTAAAACAAATAATATTTTTAAAAAAATAAGTTAATTCCTAGTTAGGTCAACAAAGAAAAATCTTATATTAGTTACCTTTTATCATATAGTTACTATTTTTTAAATATGTATATACATATAACGGAATCACACACAATATTAAAAGACAAAATAGAAAGCTATTTTCCTTGAAATTTTCCATTTTCCTTTCTATATAGGGTGTTGGACTATTTTGTTTTTGTTTTCTGCTATTTATTCATTAATTAAATTTAATTATTCTAATAAAATAGTATAATGAAAAAGAAATTACATTCTCAGAAATTAGACCATCTAAGGTGGGATTCGAACCCACGATAATTGGATAAGAAGTCCAACGCGCTATTCATTGCAGTTCAGCAACAAAGCGAACTGTTGAACTATTATTTTTGTTTGTTACTATTTATTCCTTTTTTAATTTGATTAATAAATTGATATTTAAAAATCAGTATTAACATCAGTATAACATCAGTATTAACACATATTCCACTACAAGGTTTAAAAAATGTATTTGAACTTGAATGGATGAATAGAAATTATTTTATTAACGATTCAAAATTTAAACAAGATACACACACATACACACACACACACACATATATATATATATATATATATATATGTGTGTGTGTGTTGTGTGTGTGTGTGTGTGTGTGTGTGTGTGTGTGTGTGTGTTGTGTGTGTGTGTGTGTGTGTGTGTGTGTGTGTGTGTAGGGAGAGAGTGAACTAATAGTAGGAATTGAACAATAATGTATTTCTGATATAACAAACTATTTTTAAAAGAATTCGAAAATAAAACGTACCCCTTAATATTTGTAGATAACAACAAACCTTTGACGAAGAATCTGAACCTCTGAGAAGATTGAAATATTACTTTGGAGTAACATGCGATTTTCCTATCTGATATTTATATAAAGACTGAATTATTTTTCCTGAATATATTAATACGTAGAATCCATTTCCGGTTTTTGAATATCAACTGTTTGAAAAAGAATACCCATGAACAAGTTTCAGAAATTTATCAAGGAACAATCAAGCTTTGTTCTATATTACAGAAACACACAACTTCCTGTTAATTTCTATATTCACTGATTAATACCATGATTAAAACCAAAAAGCAATCATTACCGGTTAACAAACGTTGAATTATTTGGGAAATTTTACAACTTTTTTTTTTAAAAAAACACGTCTATAGATATTGTACGTTTTTATGTGTTTGGGATCAATGAATACATTCTTGAATTCTATGGAAACGAATTTTCCTCATTGAAAAAAAATCATTCATTTATTCATTCATAAATCCATTGTGATCTCATTTTATTTATTTCTCTAATGATCTTACTCAATTAACCAGTGACAAATATTTGGATCACGGTCACGAAACAAAGAAAACATTAAAACTCTCATCCATCCATCCCAAAATGTAGAAAACTCGCATCTTCAAGGACAAAGGGGTTCATTTGAGGATCTTTCGAATAAATGCTTTTTATATTAGAAGGACATTTCTTTGTTAATATTATATTTATTTTTTATATTTTAATAAATAAGGAACTGCAGCAGAGCCTAGACAAGGTAGTGAAGCTAATTGCTGTGCCAAAGGTTTGCGTTTGAATCCAGATGAAGGCTTAAGTTTGTATATGCATAATGTCTGTGCGGCATGGGTGGAAGGGGGGGGGACTCTAAATATTTGGTGAGTCGAAAGTCCTTTCTAAAAGTCAGTGGCGGCTTAAGCTCATTTCAGGCTCTGGGTGCAGAAGATCTACGCGCCTCCTTGGCATTGACAGATCGAAATTTATACCAGAAAATCTGGTTAGGTCCAACTTTACGGGCTCTTCTGGAACCCTCCGAGACCCTGGGTGCCAGCCTAAAGCACCCAGTGGATAAACCAGCACTGCGAGAGGTTGGTGGTAGAGGAAAATCGGGTGGAAGACCCCTAGAGTGTTCCCTCTCAAAATTCGAGTGGAAAAGTGTCCAACTGTACTGTCACCTGTATGGTGTTCATGGCTGTAGTTAAGAAGACTGATGTAATTTAGCCCCTCTCCCCACCTGCCATGAATAATTTATTATGCCTCGATCTGACATCGTCACGATTAGGTGGCATTAGTAACAACAACAATATAGGATGTCAAGAGTAATCAAAAGTATCTATTTAAAAGCAATCTCCATTCAAAAACAGTATTAAGCTTCTCTTTGCATTAAATTATCCTCTTCAGTATTTAGATTATTGATATTATAAGTAGTTTACCCTTTTTAAACAGTACTTTTTCTCGGTAAGGTCAGTTAAAATTTATTTTTTTCAATTCCTATTATTAGTTCACTCCCTATACATATATATTTATATATATATATATATAAATATCTTGTGCATATACAAATTTTCAATCGTTAATAAAATACTTTTTATTCATTACTCAAGTTCTAATTCATTTTTTAAAACTTGTAGTGGATAACACTTGATGTTAATACACTTTTTTCAAATATTAAGTCATTAATTTTTTAATTAATGAATAAATAGTAAAAAACAAATATAATAGTCCAACATCATATATAGATAGGTTACCAGCTCGCATTGCTTCTGTATCGCAATGGATAGCGCATTGGACTGCTAATCCAAAGGTCGTGGTTTCAAATCCCACCTAGAATGGCTTAATTTTTGGAAAAGGGATTTCTTTTTGCCATACTATTTTATTGGAATAAATTGAATTAATGAATAAATAGTAACAACAAAAATACTATCCAACACCATATATAGAAAGGAAAAGTAGAGAGAAAAAATAATATTGCAAGGAAAATGCTTTTTATTTTGCCACAGTATTGTGATTCTTTCATGTCTATATACATATGTATTTATATTAATAGTAATTATTTAATAAAAAGCAACTAAAATAAAAAATTTCTTTGTTGACCTAAGTAGGAACTGACTTTAAAAAAATTATATTGTTTGTTTCTTTTTTACTTATGTAAGAATCATACTAAAATGAAGAACTGTAAAGCTTGAATATATTAATACAGGCCTGAATTATTTTCCATGATGATTATTAAATGAATCTTAAATCAAAAATATACTTCAACAAAATGCTTGCAAAGATAAAATGCAATAACGGTAAATAAATTTGTTTTAAAATAATTTAGAATAAATATCGTTATAAATTTCAGAGTTATAGAAAGATTTTCTAAACAGTGAGTAGTAAAAATTTTATTAGAAATAAAATCAAAATTATAAGAAAATAGAACAACGCATTGAATACAAATATTTCAGAGGAACTAATAATTTCGAAACATTTCATAATTACTGGTAGAAAATACGATTGTTATTTTGAAATATTCATTCCCAATATTCTTCCAAGGTAAATTAGAATTTTTCGTTATTTTTTCGAGAGATATAAAAATAATGTTGCAATATTTCTTGCAACGAAGGCAGAACAAAATAGTCGCATATTAATTTGGTACTTCATGAGGAAAGAATATCATAACATTCTTTCATCACAATTTTAAACACAGATAGTGTTATTAAAATAGTATAGTTATATATATATATATATTAATATATATATATATATATTAGGAAGGGTGTTAATAAAGATAGCTATTACACAAGAAGAGAAATTATCGTCATTGTCTTTACGTAAGTATTAAGTTTCGTTATATATTTGTCCAATACGATTGCAGTGATCACACTTCAAATGTTAACTTTTTTTTCATTAAAAATTTAATATTCTTTTGGATTGTGGGTAACTCTTCGATTTTTGGAAGTTGTTCGATTTTTGGAAGTTTAATCAATTGTTCATAAGTATTTTTTCCAATTTTTTCTTCAACTTGATTTCCGAGAATAGAATTCTGACTTTTTTGCAAATGCAGTAGAAACAATTTTGTTAATCACATCAGGGGTTGGTGTATTTATGGAGGGTGAACTTTTTTCATAAAGGCACCTAAAATATTCGGAATCATGTACAACCAAGACATGTTGAAATCATTTATACAATAACAATAAAACCAATTACATTTGCTATTTCATTTTTAATACTTGGTACGTATTATACCGAATGAATTTTGAATAATTAATAATTTGAACGAATATTATACGAATTTTGTCAAATAAAAAGAACTCGCTAAATGGCACCATTTGCAGCTAATAGTGGAAATCCGTTCTCTGCTATTCGAAAACAATGATGGAAGCATTTGGCGACATTTTTTTGAATTGGCGATATCTTTTAATTTTATGAAACTGAAGGACGATATAATACGTAAGTACCTACTTCTTTATCTTTCTGCTGACTGTTACATTTTATACAAGTAGACGCGTTCGCCCTTTTTTCGATTTAATAGTTCCCTTAGTTCTACAGACTATCTCTAATCCATCGTTTGATCAGAGCTCTTTGGCAAGATTCCTGTTCCGTTGTGGAATATCGAATCAGAAGAATTGTGATTATTCAGTTTAGTCTATTGCTTAAACACCTCAAAAATATCACACAAAAAAATGGAGTAAAATACTAAGAAAACATGAATTCTCTAATTATTTATTAACTATTGATTATCTAAAATTCATGAATAACAACTTAAAACCTTTTTTAATCTCATTCTTAACAGAACAACATAAATTCTACTGTTACCATCTCATCAATTTTTCAGTTTCTAAAATACATCAAAAACAAAGATAATAATTAGGTAGAGGATGAACACCTGGCAATTCTCTCTTTTTATTCCTATTAATTACAGTAATCCAATTTATATGCTATATCATTAGTATATAGCATTTTGGAAATCCATTTTTTAAAGTAATAATGCATTTCTCTTAAATAATTTATATGCCGTTTGGTATATTTCAAAATATCATCAATGCTACTTACACCTATTTTCCAAAGGAGACCCTGTTCTATCTATATCTTTTGAAAATGTTTTGTTTAAGGAAGAATTTTCTCAATGTGCAACTGGTTTTAATTTTGAGTTATTTACATATTCTATTTTATTTTATGATACCTTGAGGTTCGGTCCTTGTCTATATGAAAATCATTAGTGTCAAAAAGTTCTTCTAGATCGACATAAATTTTACATTGCTCAGATTCTTTACTGATATACGAGGGTGAGTCGGAAAATAAGTTCCCCCGTCGACTGTGGTTAGAGTTGTGTATGAAAATCAAAACATAGAATAAGGCATTAAAGATAAGATATAACTTTATTTTTCCACATAAGTATCAAGTACATTGAGGCATTTGTCATACCACTTGATGGGCTTCAAAATGCCCTCCAGGAAAAATTCAGGGCTTTGCATACGGTAGAAGCGTTTAACGGCTATGGGCCAACGACGAAATAGCAGGTGAACACGCGAAACATAGATACGCCATTGAGTAGAGGTCGGCA